TGCATATTTTTTCTCCAAGTCCCCCCTAAAGCCCGCAGCAGATTTCAAGGAGAAATTCCGACCATTCACTAGGGTTCGAGCCCCAGATCCAAAGCACTTATGTTAAAGATTCAAGATCAGCCACAGAACATAAGAGCGCCTTTTAAAATAGTTTCACAGTTGAAAACTAGCTCCTGCTTTTACTCTCCTGCCTCATTTTTGAGTTCAGGATTCAAAGTGCCTTTCCAAACTCAGCTCCAGGCAGACCTGCTTGGATGGATAAAGGCCTTGAAGGTTATGGGTAAGATATCGGACTTGGAAGTGGTTATTCTTAAAGTTAAGAAAGGGAAGTTTCTGACGCTATCTATGATAGTCGGTAAGAAATAATGGAGAATCATTACTTTTAAATACAAAGAACTACTCCTACTCGGTCATAGTATAACTTGTGATAGAGACATTATGAAAGTTATCAGATCAAAGTCCACATGCTAAATCTTTTTAATATTGAAGAGAAATGTAACAATTTACTGTCTGTGCTAAAGCCTGGGCTTCCTGGAAGTGTACCTTGCCTTGCTTCTGCTGCTCGGCATTCCCCGTATCTGCCATGAATCACAGTCTAATAATAATTTTTTGAAGAATTACTTCTTTCCTAGGAATTCAGATCAATCCCAGTTAAAAGTGAACTCTGTGAATGTGCCAAATATTTAGATAATAAATCTAAAACCCAACAGTGATCTGCTTCCTTTATCTACAGATATTGGGCGTGATCCAGATACCAGCGCTCCCATCATCTCCTGCGGGCCCACGGTGTGCAGCTTATCAGGGGAGTTTTCAAGGAAAAAGAAAAATTACATGTAGAACCAAAAACATATTCCAAAAAACCACTAACAGCTAATTCTGGCCAGTTAGAAAATCAATATATGATCTAAACCAGTCATCTAGACCTTCCCTATTGAAAGTCTGCTTTCTAGCAGGGCCCTTTTGAGCACCCCCCCCCTTCATCTGAAACGTAGCACCGCTAACCAAAGAGCTGGTTTCAAACCTCTTTAAGACCCATATGAATAGTCTATGCCCCGCAGCAAGTTTGGCAGTCAGCACTTTAAAAAATAAACTCAGCTACAGAATGATGATTTGCATAGTGCATGGTGACTAAAATTAGCCTGCCTCGACTCCATCTCGAGAGGAAGTCTGACTTGCCACTGCAGTTTCAGGTTTCTTGGCTTTAAGAAAAATTCATAGCATCCGAGGAACACAGACGCGTCTTCTGTGCAGTCCTGCTCCTCTTGGCTGGCACTATTCTCCAAAGCTGTCCTACAGCACCAGCAAAAGCCTTATTCTTCCTAACATGGGAAACCAGAGCATGCTGAAACCCGCGGAAGCCCTATTTTCAGTGTGAAAATGTTTAGAAGATGATTTATTAAGGAGAGAGTGCGTTGCAGGTCACAAGATGGTCTGTCCTGGATGTAGGAAGGATAAAACCTCTCTGACAGTTAATCGCCACATGAGACAGAGGTTTCTTAAAGCAGAGGTGTGCTGAAAGGCGCTCTGCAGAAGACATACACAACGTACAGTTGTTTTAGGATTGGTAGGTTAACCTTCATTAGCTGTTGGATTAACATGAGATACCCCAACTTGATTCTCAGTCATTGCCCCACATCATCCTTGTGTAACAGCTCGTGTTCCTCTGTCATAATTTAATATTGTGATTTGGCTGGCCAAAGAGCTCACACGCTCGCTCTGTCTCATTTAATTCTGCAGATGAACGGATGTCCATGGGCAGTCACGCTAGTCCACCATTGATGTCTCTGACGAATTTAAATTATTCAGAAAGTCAGTCACCAGCTAAGTGCTAAGCTGTTTTTTTTTTATTTCAGCTTGAGATGTGGCTATAGCTTCTCTCCCTGAGATGTATAAATAATTCATTTAGTTATGTAGTGGGATCGCTCAGGACCTGTGCTGCAGAGTGCTGCTTGCACAGATCCCCTTCTCACCTACTGCACGAACTCAGCTCAGCTCAACCATATTTCATCCCTCCTCCACAGCTGACGTTTGGGGTTGGGGCCTGGGCCCTTGGACTACGTTTCTCAGGGTTTTGGTTCCTCTATCCCTGTGAGGTTCCAGATACCTTTGAATCTGAGATCATAGCTACCAGAGGTTCATAGCTTAATGCTTGCATTAAATTTGTGCAAAATAAACTTGCTGTAGCAATGACCCAGTTAAGTATCGGTTTTTATATTTTATATGAACGTAAGCCAACATCGAATTTAATTTTCTGCTGTGTTGTAGAATTGAAAGGTAATGATTCACTCTTAAAAATACATTTAAAATGATTTAGTTACTACTTTGAATACAATATATGTCTTATGGAAGGAGCCCAGGGTAAAAGCTCACTGATGTGCAGAGTCCTGGCTGGTTGCAATTAGGAACAGAACAGCCCCATGACATGAAATCTGATGATACATTGAACTTCTGACCTATAGGAGAAATCTGATCATCACAACCCAGCTTCTTCTTCATTTCAGCTCTGTTCAGGAAAACAAAAGTCTTCATTCAACATTCAATTTTCTCCACCCTTCACCACTGGAATTTTTATGTGATCTGAATTAAACATGCCAGACTTTGACGGTAAAAGTTATAAGTGGCTAAGCGAAATCCATGGTGTCTTTCTGTTTCTTTAGCTATTGTCATTAAGCCTTGTACTGATCTGATGAGGCCCTACAGGAAAAGGAGGTGCTACTGCATCCAACTTCACTGTGGTTTAAGCAGAATAAAATACCGACTCTAGTATTACTGGATTATTTTTTTTCTGGACTGGAGGCAATCATTGCTTTTTGCCAACCGTAGCCACATTCTCTGCTCCTAAGTTTAAGAATTAATCCTGAAGTCCTTAGTCAGGATTCCTAATATCCGAGGCAAAGTTTGAGCAAGGCACAGACTACCCAAAGTTTAATTACTATGCAGCGGTGGTGAGTTGGGGTAGAAGTACCCAATAACCTGCCGTGTGTTACAGCCATGGAGCTGACACCTCTGCAGTGTTGTGTGAAGATAATTAGGTCTTAAAAGACATGCCACCATGTTGGATGGAGTCCAGTTCAGCAGCCCTCCTTATCTGAGTTTCTGCTCAATTTTATGCACATATACTCTTTGCTGATCAACGGCCAACCTCCATGGGAGCCAAGAGTGCGTAAGAGGATGACGGCTTTACCCACCCACGCTTCTGATAAGCTAAAAACAGATTGAAGGTCTAAGTCAATTACACTTAAGCATGTGATAAAATTCTTTGCTAAACTGGGGCCTAAGTCAGTGTGATCTTAGGGTGGAACTCAAATAACTGCTCTTGCAGGAGGGAGAACGGGCACAAGAACGGAGCCAAAGGTTCTCCTGGGGTGATGGGCTGGGGTGAGCGGCAAGAGCCCAAACAAATGGGAAAACGGCGTGATCCGAGAGAAGGAGGGATTGTATGACTGGCTCCGTGGCTACGGCTTGGGAGGAGGAAATTCCTCGTGGGAACGTTGCCAGGAGGGTGAGGAAATTGCTTGCTTTTCTAAGCAGAAGCATCTAATAAAGGAGGGGTGAGAACAAAGGTTCTCGCCTGTGTTGTAGGCAGTGTTACTAAGACATAGTACTAGTGGCACTTTGAGTTGTGTTGTCTGAAATAGCATGCTTGCTTTAGACTTTTAAAAGTAGGGTAAAGTAATAGACTTCATCTCTCATAGCACCCGTGACTGCCATTCAGGAGGTCTATGGCAATGGCTTGTGTAGTTGAGAATAAAAATGGCCCAGGTCTAAGATATCGGTCCCAGATTTCATCTTAAGTTCTGGAGACCAAGTGTTAGCCAAGTCCCTGGAGCTCCTCATCACACCAAGCTGCTTCTGCTGGGCTGCCTGCTCCCTGTTTCTGCGCTTACTTTGGGGCTTGTTTAAACTTTCCTTGTTTAAAACATGCTAAAACTTCTTCATCGTGAAATAAGGGAGAGTTTCTGTCCCTCTGAAAAGATGTGTGTGAAACGCATGGAAGGACTAGAAAGGATTATCAACGCTTACATGTTTCAGGCTTTTGCCCCTTTTGGAAAGTAAATAAATTGCAATCTGGATAGAGGGGACCTCAGCTTCCCTGGAGAATATTTTAATACATCAGGAACTAAATGCTGAAATTGGGAGAGCTGTGTGTGCAAGAACCCAGCTTCACCACACACAAAGACACATTAGGTAGAGCCAAAAAATCTGTGAAAGACAGAACCAAACCACCTCCCAGAAATGACCCACTCCCCGCAGGGGCCTTTTGGGCACTGTGCTGGCCGAAAAGAGGCTTGGAGCTGTGCAGAAAAGCTGTTTCTGGAGATATTCCTACTACGTGGAGGGAAAGAGGACTTCATGCCTGAAGGATCTCTGTGATTACATCTCCATTTTGTAGGCGCCATCTCAGCTGGTTAGAACCTAAAAATGGTAACTACTTCTGCTCAGAAGAGACAGCAGCCTCTTTTCTCCCCTTATACAAGAAAAGATTGTTTTTAACTGACTCTTCTAGATAAATAGCACTTAGAAGTAAGGGTAGCGCTCGTGATGAGTCTAGTGTAGGGGTTCGCAGTCACTTTTTATGCCAAGGATCACAAATTAATTAAGAAACTCCTGTCGCTTGGAAACTCTTCTATTCACAGTTGCATCAAATCACTGTAGCAGTAACTTACATGGAAAAATAACATTAGGGATATTTTTATTTTTAGCTGTCTTAATGAAATATAGCAGATGGAAATAAAGAGGAGAAGCCCGTCCTATGTGACTAGCCATCTGTCTGGGGATCAGCAACAAGTATTTCATGGATCACAGCTAGAAAATTAGTGGGTAATTAATGTCAGTCTTCAAGCTACCTTACAGTTCTTCACTCTCTTTATTCTACTCTACAGAGTGGCTTTCAAATGCCACTCATAACTTACCCGGCCATGAGAGACACGCTCATAGCATGACCCTTAGCACCTCACCATGAGCTCAGCTACCAAGATCCTAAAGACTATTCCAGTTGATCTAAATTTGCCTTAAAGACATTCACATCCTGCCCTCGGTTCTGTAGCACACCAAGCACTGGGACCACTTGGACCTGTACTAGGCATGTCATGGAAACCAGGTTACTGACTTGAAGACAGAGTAAAGAGCTATTACCCCAAACTAATTTTCTGTGTTGAGTTTCTTACTGGCATGTAGCTTTTCCAAGTTCATTAACTAGCTAGTCTGGAATCTAGCTCTTCAAAACCGCTCCAATTACTTCTACGCACTGTTCAGCTGGAGGAAGCCTGTCTTGTTTAATGACATCCTAAACAGACACACAATCCTGAACGCTGCTAAAGGTCACGCAGCCCGAGCTTTTGGAGATGAGATACTTATTCAGTGTTGTCATTATTGTACCCTCTCACACATGCTGCATCACGGCTGCAGTTTGTTCTCCCTTTCCTTTTTGGGAAAATCAATGCCTTGTCACAAGAAAGTTTTTATATTTCACCTTTACAGAGTATTGCTTATTCTTCTCTGGTAACAGGATATTGTTATCAGGCTGTTTGAACTTTGTTTATTACCTCCATTCTGCCAGCTCCTACAATTCACTTGATACTGTTTTGGTTATTTTTATGCTTTGGTTTAAGAACACTGCGCTCCAAGACTGCGCTTTAAGAAATGCCGCACGGAGCAGAGCCAAGGGAGTCATCAGCTTATTTACTGGACTGTTCTGAGCCCTACACGGTGCCTTAGGAAATACCTCTCTTCCTGGAAATCCATGGCTAGCTGGTAAAACTCTACTGTGTGGATAAACATAATTAATCTTCACAAAACCCTAGACATGCAGTATCTGAACCTGACGTAGCAGGTGGAAATTGTGTTACTCCTCATACAAGGAAAGTGGCCCCACCGACAGAGCTTAAATCTAGGAAATCCTATTTGTAAACCTACGAGGTTTTTGGCTATGTCTTCTGTTACTCTTGTGGCCCTTTATTTTTTCCTTCTGAGCGGGTAAGCAATCCCAGTTTGCTGACAAATAACAAGTATTTGCAAACACGTTTCAGTCTACCCTTTACAAGCTTCCAGGTACCTTTACAAGTCGTGGAAATGTCCCCTTGACTCCGTGGCGATAACTTCACTGTCTCGTCCCTCTTCCTTCCAGCCCATCTTAGCTTAGCCGAAGGCGCCGGTGCCGGCTGTGCTTGGCAGCTGGGGCCGAGCTGGCCGGCACGGCAGCTGGTCCTCTGCAGCATCGCACCCACCGAGGGCATCGGCGCTGGGGATTGGGATGTCAGTTAGAGGGAGGCCATCAATCAGCCCCTCCCTTCCAGCTTTCCTCTGAAAACACCTGTAAGGAAATTATTAAAACGCATCCCCGCTGATCCCCCCCGGCCTCATCTACCGAGGTGTAAATTAGAGGAGCAGATGTGTAAGTTAGGTGTGCGCCGCTTTTTCAGATGAGCCACCGCGCCGGCTCTGCGCCGCCGCCGCCTCCCGCACCAGCACCGCGTCCATGTGCCGTGCGTGGGTGGCCAGGCTCAAACCTCGCGTGCTCTCGGCGGGGTGCTGACACGTGTGCGAGCGAGCGGTCTTTTGCTTTGATAGTTTATCTGTCTGCCTTAAAAATGGGGATTGTGTAGCTTACCCACTTCATAAAGAAATTGTGAAGATCATCTAATTAACACTCAGAAGGGTTGCTGGAGAACTAAGCGAGAGCTTACGAGATGTAAAATGCCATTTGCTTTTTAATGAAGAAAGGCTGAAGAGATAATCTTAAAAACAAACATATATGCGGTGTCACGTGCCTTCTGCGTATCCTTTGCTGTAGCCCAGTTTCTGTTTTGGTTGCATGTGCACATCTGGGTGTGCCCAGAGCGGCTGGAGGGGAGGGATCGAGCACCTTCTGCTTTCCGCTTCCTGGAGGCTGGACAGACATAAAAGCGAACATGCGGTGATGCTTGCTGCCCAGAGAAGAGCGATGCCTTCTTTACTCCTCCGCTGCACCGTTGGCTGCACTTGGAGAACATGTACAGCCAGAAGACTGAATTCCCTGATGTTTTATATCCAAATTAAGGCAGTTAGATGGCAGGGCAGCTCCAGATCTCTCCCTCCTTTCCTCTCCTCCTAATATTTCAAGCAGCCAGAAGGTTGCACAGAGACCAAGATGAGGAGAATTTCTTCATAAGCTTTACCTAAGCCAAATCCCCCAACAGTTAACTCAAAAGTAGTTTTTGAAGAGCTATTAGCTCTTCAGTGTGGTTTCTGTTTCAACCCCAGGAAAAAGGCTGAGCCTTTTGCAATGCAAGCAGCACCCCATTGCCCAAAGGACTCCGATGGCGAGGCTGGCGCTGCTGGCAGGTCTCAGCAAGGCAGAGCTCAGCACAGGCTGCAAAACCTGCCCGAGCACTGGGGGGTGGCTAACCCACCCAGCCGCACTGCGGCTGCTGGCTGAAATGGCTCGTTCGAAGCTCGTTTGGGGCTTTGGGCACGCACTTGGGTCCCTGCGGTGTGCACATCCCCAGTTTGCCTCCCAAGGACCACGAGGAGCCTTTGCCAGGTCTTAGTTTACCTTCTCTTTTCCACCCATCTCAGCCTGCTGTTGACAGTCAGCAGTCAGGCAGCACGGAGCTCATTTCAAAATCCACCTCTGCTTTCATGGCCAAATTAACCTCCCAGCTATCCAGGAACCGGTACCAAAACCTCATGGCTTCATGGGCTTGATGGTCTGTTAGTGATGCACAACATAACCATCCTCCCTCTCTATGCTGCCATCCCACACAAAGGAATCCAAGTCTTTTTATGGTGTATTTAACCTGGAGCTCTACCTCCCTATAGGGAGATGGCTGGGATTTTCAAATGAGACCACTGGGAATTTGTTGCTCAATTCCAATTGTGTTTCAGGGGATTTGGCAAATAGCTAGCAGCCTCTTTTAAAAACTCACAGGATGGCAATGAAGGTAATTTGCACGTTATCCACAGAGGCAGACTGCTCGAGGTTCATTACGATACCAGTTAAATGTTATTTCTCTCGTTCATTGTCTCATTCTAGTTACTCATTTCCCCTGGAAAGCCAAAGAGTCGGACACATGAGTTGGCTGGACAAGGTTCTTCTTTCAACTGTCATTCTCCGTTTAGAAATAATACCTAGAAATATCTTTCTCTACAGAGTCCTAAGCCACCAGCCAGGGCAAACAACTGCTTATTACAGGAGCTCAGATCCAAAGTTTACCACCATTCATGGAGAGCTGGATCCAAGGTTTTGGTTTGGCTCATGATAAAGAGAGGCAAGCAAAGCCGAGTAAACCCAGATCCGAACTCCTCTCGGTGTCAGCGGCCAGGGACTGGCCTGCTTCCAGCTTATCTTCACAAAAGGCCATGGTCTGAGCTGCAAAGTTAATTTTGAAGCAGAACAACAGAAGCGTTTGGGTAGGAATGCATTGCTGTTACTAACAGTAAATAAATACATGAAGTAAGACCTGCCGTGGTAAATAAAACTGCACTCGAGCGGTGATATTTCGAGCACTGAGCTGCACCCCCAGGATTTGCACCCGGGGCTTGCCGGGTAGCTGCTATCCCAGGGAGGCAGCTAGCACCCGTCCCAGGCTTTTCTGAAAGCTGCAAGTGTTTCCTGGGCCGTAATCCAGCCCAAAGGGCTTCGGTCACTGGTTTAGGTGACATACAGCACAGCTGCTCGGGGCGCGGGAGAGAGGCAAGAGAAATGCGGACGGCGCGTATCGTGCTATTTGATCCAAGGAATCACAGCTGACCCACCAGCAAGCCCCGACAGGCATCGCTGCTGCTGTCTGTAAAAGGGCAGGGAAAGGCGCTCTGCAGGGGAGAAGATTACCCAGCGCATCGGCTGGATGCTACTCCAGTGACATAGCAGCCGACCTCCATCACAGACCAAATTCTCCCCCTGATCCCTCATTTCACTGCACAGATACAAATACGAACTGGCCTTTGCAGCTGAAGGAAAAGGGCAACTGCGTTTCTTTTCTCCGTCAACCCTGTCCTGACTGCTCAGATGTTGTGAGTTAGAAATCCCCAGTATTTTTTGAAGCCTGAAGGCTATTGAAGTACAACTAGTTCCCTGCCATTGACCTTTTAGTGTTAATGTTTGAGTACTGTTTTCATTACAGGAATGGTAAGAAACCATAAAAGAAAACGCCCCAAACCCCAGATTTTCTTTTAGTCACACAGTGCCAGGAGGCAGATTTAGAAAAAAATGACTGCAAGCCTTAGCACAGATAAAATTACATTGCAGAAAACTCCATCCTACTCTTCAGCACTTAAATTCTCTTTTCCAGTAAAATGTGCCTACTGAGCTGGGGTGTTTCCCAAATGAAAGCAAGTTTCTGAGCCGTGTTTTCAGATGCCATTCCAATGGGCACGCGCCTGAATGCTCTGCTGAACCTCTGCCTGCCGAAGTGCCTCTCAGCTAAATACCTGGTAGCTGCTGGCACTATAGCACTGAGGATCCTTACGGGACAGACGCTTCAAAACCCACCCAAAAATCAAAATATAAGCAAGACAGTTCTTGCTAGTATTGGCTTTACCTGCCCTTGCCAAAACACCATCTTCAGTTTCCAAACTTGCCGCTGCCTTTCTTAGGAGCAGGATGATAATTAGGCTCATTAGGCTGGAGGACGGTGAGGCCGGGCTCTCGTCCCGCTTCCTTGGTACTCGGGAATTTTACTCTGTGGACTGTTTTAGCCATACCCTAAAATAAAAGAGGTAACACATGAAAAAGGCAATAAAAGCAGTATCCTTATCCAAATGTCCTGTGCCTAGCGAAGTGCGAGAGCCCTCGTGTACACACCGCTATGCCGGCTGTTCGGGAGTTTGGTTGCTGTTTCTCTGGAGATGGGTGCTACAGCGGGTCCCCTCGGTCACCCTCCCCATCCTGGGTGACAGGCTCATGCAGCAGTACCTGCTTCCCTTCAGGACACGTGCATTTTGATTTTCCTCATTGATCAAAAACAGGCAACTTGCTTTATTTTCACATCCGCTTCAGCAGCGGGGGTCAGGTGGGCTTTGCATCCATCTCAAAGTGTCGGAGACCGGCCCAAGTCTGGGAAGTTTTATGAACGTTCTGTGCAATGGAAAAAGTCTGTGGGGTGAGAGGAAGAGGGACCAAGGCAGGAGAAACTTGCTGCTGCTTCCAGCCACGGCTCAGGCGAGGCCCGTCATGAACATAACCCTTACAGAACGCTTTTCTCCTCTTTTTTTTTTTCAGCCCACGAGCAAAAGTTGAAGTTGTGTTTCCAGTCTAGAGGAGCAACGTTGAATCAGTGCTCTCTGCAGCACAGCTCCAGGTTGTCTCACCCGCCTGTTTGAACCTGGTGTTCTTTCCCAGTTTGTATGTTAAGAGCTACAGGGACATTCTTACTGGTAATCCTCATAGAATGCCTTGCCCAGGGGGACTGGTGAACCTCCTCGTACTAACTGAATACACATAGAAAGACCTTGCCATTGCCACCCAAATTAATGGGTAGGAAGACACAATGTGTGCATTAAATCATACTTAGCAGCCCAAAGGATTAATCGCCCTGTTCACATAAGGGCTAGTGGAGGAAAAGAAGCTTTCAAAGGGTTTAAGTTTTGGCCCCATCACTTTGCTGTGCATCTGGCCCTCCCACACCGTCTGGTTTGATGTAAGTCTCTCCCACAGGGACTCTGTGTGCTCAGAGCCCTCCACTTCCACTCGCTATCCGCAGGCAGAGATGTGTGTAAGTGCTATACATCACCAGCCTGCGCTTTCCAACAAATTAGCAGAAATACCCTGGTATTACATTTGCTGTGATCTGCCTGTCAATCAAGGAGACTCTCATGGTCCTTTCTGTTATTCATACCAGGATTGCAGCCATCCGCTACTTGCTACTAATACTGGAGTCTCTGCCCATGACGACTGACGGAAGCATCCAGCTGGTAACATCTCACAAAGAAACCCTGGGCTTGGTCTCCCCCCTGCCTGGAGTGGCTGCAACAGCAGCCAGCAGCAGGGGGGCTAGATCATAAAAAGTGCACTATAAATAAACCATCTTAGCACCAAGGTTGATACAAAAAGCCATAAAAAGCAGGGACAATAAAAGAAAAATGCGTGGCAACAATAAATCCTATTTATAGGATCCATGAAAGGGGTTCATTTGGTAAAAAGTGCACTAAATAAACCCAATCTTAGCACCAAGGTTGATACAAAAAGCCATAAAAAGCAGGGACAATAAAAAAGAAAAATGCGTGGCAACAATAAATCCTATTTATAGGATCCATGAAAGGATTTCATTTGGAAAAGACTACCTAAAATTCTCTCTCCTGAAGGTGATCGGCATGTCCTGTCCTAGCAGGATTACTGCTTGCACATACATGCATACGTCAGCTTGTATTCATAGCCCTAAAATGTTCCTGTCAGTTATACACTCCACAAATACCAGCAAGATTTGAGATTCTGCTTCCCCCCCACCCCAACCCACCCCTGTTGTTGCATCTGCTTGTTTCATCTATCACTGGTCCCATCCTCATCTTTGCGTGAGCATATGTTGCAGGAGGAGAAATATAATTAAGTTTGGAAAATTCATTTTGAGGTAACCAGATGTCTTGCACCACCTTGAACGTGTTTCCCACACCTTAATTAGCAGAGGGGAAGTCACTGCCTGTGGCCGAGCGGCACTGACGGCAGCGGGGGCTGCGGGCAGCCCTTGCCTCGCCGCAGAGCAGATGGGCTTCGCTCTCCAACGCAGGGAAGCATCCTCTCCAGGAACACATCCTGCAAAGGCTGTCGGAGGGCTGTCATGGATTTGGAGAGGACTCAATTTCTGGCGCTCATCACCTGGACACATCCCGATTGCCTATATACACACTTAAGCTGTGGCTTCCCTTTGTTTTGCTTCAGGGCTGCGTGCTTGATTTATTACGGTCAGACGAGTGTGGTTATGTGTTTGTACACCGAATCTGCATAGTTAATTCGTGTAGTTACTTCTGGATGCTTGCGGGGTGGTGGATGGGCAGTAATACAACTGTACTTGGGCAACGCAGTCACAGGAGCTGCAAGCACTAAATCAGGATTAGCTGTGTGCCTACGACACAGGCATCCACCAATAACCTGTGAAAATGGCATTTCTATATTGCTGTTTTACAAGAAATGTCTTGTTATTCTGTAAAATGTTGCAGGAGACTCGAGCCTGCCAGTCAGGGCCAGATATTTACAGACCAGCAGTTTGCATGGAGCAGCAGGGCTGGTTTAGCTCTCTGCAGAAACCTTTTATTCCTCTGCCAAAGCCTTAAATCCCTCTGACAGCCTTCAGATGAACTCCTGGCCTGCAGAGAGAGAAGGGATTGTGTGGAGGGGATGGAGCAATGCTGGGAAGCCCGGAGACGGTGGGGAGCAGAGGGGAGCAGTGGCACCGCCAGGAGGAAGCCGGACGCTGCCCGGGTCGCCCTCCTGCTAGCACGGAGGGATGTTTGCTTCAGGGGAGGGTTTTCCTATCTATGTCCATGCTGTGTGCCTGCTTTCTAGGGAACTGGGCACCAGCTATTTCTGTACCCTCATCAGTGGCCAGGAGTGATGGAGTATTCCTTTCTCAGCCCCACTCTCATCCCCAGGGCTAGGTTTCCTCCTCCCGTCCCATCCAGCTCGCTGGGTCCCTGCCAGAGGCCCCGATGCCAAGGGAGGGGTGACGCAGCACCGGTCTCCCTGGCTGGAGCAGGGAGGTACTTGGAGATCTCCTCCGACTTGTGCCCTTGTCACCCCCCTGCTCTCTCATCTCTGCACGATCCTGCTGCGTTCGTGCCGGGAGGACCACGCTGGTGTTGCATTTGGAGCAGGGATGCGCCTTCCCCTGCCGAGAGCGCCCCAGCGTTTGCGAAGCTCACACCTCAGCTGTGCAAAACCCAAACCAACACCCCAAAACTGACATGACACCCCATTTCTGTATCCTTAGCCGCGTTTGGAAGTGGCCGAGATGGACCCACCGTGGTCTCGGTTTCTAGCAGGAGCGGCCGTGCCCGCCCCCGTGGCAGCTGCGGCAAAGCCATGCCGGGGCAGCCGGAGGGGCACTGGTGCTGCCCTGGGACGGGGCTCTGATTTTGGGCTCAGCTGCCACATGCCGTCTGCGACCCCGGCTGGGTTTCAGCTGCTGGCCGAGCAGAGCTGTACCCGTCCCCCCGCACCCTCAGAGCCGTCTTGTTGTGCCAAACGGAGACAAAAATACTTCCCCAGCTGCTGCCCACCTGGTGCCTGAGACGAGTTTAGGAAACGGCAATAAGAAACTGAAAATAAAAGGCCAAAAAGAGATAGATACAGGGCTCGCACCAGAAGTGAGAGAGCTAAAAATAGCGGTGATATGATCCATCAGAGCTATAGGTCATAATTAACCGCTCAAGTGTCTTCGGGCATCGAGCAAGTGCCTCTCCAGCAATAGGAAACTCACATGGCTTTAACAGCCAAGACGGCGCGTCCTGGGCTCCCGGTCTGCCACCGCCGAAAATAGATGATGTGTGGACGGTCCCCTGGCCGGCTGATGCCATGCACTGGTGGGGTGTTACCCCTCCTCAGCCCCCCGTTGTGGACCACCACGCTCCTTTCACCTCCCGCTGTGGACATGTGGGGTTTTCCAGGGGATGGGCCACCCCCTCTTGCAGGGTGAGTAAAGGCCAGGGAGGAGCAGGCAGGCACCAGCCCGGGTGCACCATCACCCTTCTGGGCACAAGCCCGCTGCCGTATCCCCAGTAGCTCTCAGGGCTGCTGGGAGATGGGTGCATGGATGAGCTGTGGGAGCTGCTTGCGGGGAGCCTCCGTAAGGTGCGGGTGCACCGGCATTTCCCTTGTGGTGGTTTGGAAAGGAGAAGCCACAGCTCTGGGTCAGCTTCGCGTCTGGAGACAATGTGATCGGTGCTTTCTCGACTGCCCCATGTCCGGCAGCAGCCCCTTCCATGGAGACTTCTCAGTGCTCCCATGCAGCCGTCTGCCCCTCGCTGGGACCAGCGCTGGGTGTTTGGCGTGGTTGCAATCCAAGCTTTTGTCCAAACCCTACTTGATGCTCAAGTGATTGAAAAGATCAAGGCAAGAGGCCTGGAGGTGTCCTGTCCCCCCTGAACGAAGCCCCTTGGGCTGTGCCCGGTCTCCAGCTCCAGCCCTCCCAACACGCTCACCTTGTGCAGAGCACGGCAACGTCCCCCCGGCTGGGAGGGACCGCCCGTTCCTCAGTGTGCCCCATTTCGCCAGGGAAAAAGGGGTTTTATACCCATGAGCTGCACCGAGGGACGTGCAGGAGGAACGTGTGAGAAGCGAGTGCGATAACGCTGCCGCAGAGGGAGGGTTCGGCTCTCGGCCCCGCTGCTGTGCTCACCCCAAAGCCCTGTGGGTCCAGGGTTAGGACAGCTGCCCCTACCCAGTGACATGTTGTCATAATCACGGGGTGGATCTGGCAGATCAAAATATCGCAGTCAGTTAAAAGGCCCCTCTCAAGTCAGTTTATGCCTGATATTTAGTTTCTGTAAATATACGATATTGTGCATGAGATCAAGTGGAGAATTTCTTCTTTAAATCCTCCAGAAACAGAATTATTTAACTGAGCTGCTATTCCCTGGAAACATTTGTCTCAAACATTACGACATTGTGATAGAGGAGGAGAAATTCAACACCACAACAACAGCCCTCAGCTAATCCATTTTCTTTTCTGGGACTGGGAAAGCTCAGACTGGGAGAAGGATATTGAAAGCCAGCTCAGCTCTAAGAATGGGTGGTAGTTAAAACCAGAATGAAATAGGTAAGGATTTTAAAAACAAATACATGACTTAATCGATCATGATCGTAAGCAAAGTTAAAACAGCTACAAACCATACAGAACATGGTGGGTTTTGGTGTTCCCTACCACCTGAAGGTGAAGAAGTCTGGTGCAAGCCGTGTGCCGGGAACAGCCCCCGCACGGCGCGGCCAAAGCTGAGCTGTATGGAAACAGCCTGAGATCCAGCCGTACCAAAACCACCCGTGACCGCTGAGGTCAGCGGGAGAGGCGAGCACTGACACCTTTGCAAAAGCACATTTCAGCTCACTTGGGTACCCAGTCAGATGCCGGTTCCCCAGCTTGCCTCCCCTCCCCAATATGTCTGCTTTAAATCCTGTGCGGAACCCCTCTTACCTCTCATCTGGCAGGCCCCGGGGGGTTCGTGCCTGGCCCAGCAGATGCATGTATCCCATACGTTCCTCGGGGTAACGTTACATGGTAGAGACCAGATGTAGCCTGATGCCTTGAGAGAAGGGCCGGCCGCAGGGGCGAGCCGTGCACCCAAAGGGAAGAGGGCAGACAGCTGGGCTCGAGCAGCTGTAGCTACGCAGGGTGCAGGGGGACGGATACGCGACAGATTTATCCTGGGTGTGAACAACTCAACACTTTCTAATCAGTAAGTACACATCTTGCTCTCATGACTCCCTCTCCCTGCCCCCAGGTCCCAGTGCTGCTTCTGCACAGCGTATAGGACCTATACGGAGTCTGAAGGGCATTGCAGCCGTCTGGGGCTGAGATTTAGGAGAACTTTGGATTTCATGGCACAGCCAGTGCAGTCCTGACCAGCAGGAGCACAGCACTGGGACCAGGAGGAGGAGACTGATGTTAGTTGCATGGCCACAGCTGAGGGTGCCAAGGGTGCATCCCACTGGGTGCCCTGGAGATCCGCTGCAGCTGCAGAGCTAGACTGGCTTGAGTCAGAAGAGCTTGAAAGTCATGGTTTTATTTTCTCTCATTCTCCCTATTTTTGGCTTCAGATTCTTGGATGTCTCCTGCCTACTCCCCAAATATGTGACAAGGAGTAGGTTTGAGATAGTAACAATATTAAAATGAGTCAAAGTGCAGCATGAGCTGAAAGTTAGCACAAATGCAGAATAAAACCTCTCAGCAAAAATAACATCCAAGGAGCAGTCAGGTAGGCAGGAGATCCTCGGGAAAAGACCAGGGAGCAAGGGAGGATCGCAGGCTCAGCAGGGTCCACTGTGCTGCACGGTTTAGGAGCCTTGTGGGGACTGTCACACATAAGGTGTGCTCTGCTCAGGCTGAACAACCGAGGAGGCAAAGTCCAG